TGGAGGAGATTTCGGGAGGAGAGTGGGGACGTGTGAAGATGACCAAATCTTTTCTTTAGGGAAGATGTTCTGAAAAGCACATGGCAAGGGTTGAAGGCGAGGTTTTTGGACATCTTATCTGACAGAGAGATTTGGAGAGTTCAAAAGATGACACACATCTTAATGGTCTTTTGGTCATCTTAAGTAAGTATTAAGAATATGGCTTTGCCACCAATTTTGCTCTGATTTTGGTCTCCCTCCTTACTACTGACATTACCTCTCTTTACTTTTGCAGTGATCACTGTGCATCATTTTGTATTTTCGCTTCCTAAATTACCTGTACACCCTAGTTACTGGGCAGTCCAATACTAGTGTGGTGTGTCGTGTGGTGTGGTGTAATATAGTGTAGGATAAAGTCATATAAAGCAACCAATTCTGAATTTTGCAAGAGGGAATTCTACAGAAAGCATTGGAGAGGGAGAGTAAAGCTCCAGATTTAACCTCATAGGTGGTGAACTCAGATACATGTCCCACTGAACTGCACATGCTGGCAAGTTGGAACATGCCAATGAATATATGGGTTATTTGCTTGCTGCTATAACTGAGTATTTCTATGAAGAAGCAGCCTACACAGTATGTTAGTTAACATGCAACAGCAAAACCGAAGAGGTTTTGTACTCTCTTTTGTCATGCTGTTAACACACTCCCTTGGGAAAAAGGCAGACTGACCACTGAGTGGTTTTCCATAGTCTGGTGACAAGGAAGGTGAATGACAAGGGGCCACCTTTGGTCAACCTAATGAACCAGAAAGAAAAGGGACATGTTTCTTTCCCGACACCTCTGTGCTCCCGACTAGGTTCTGTCACCCAAGAGATCAGGTCCTATTGCAAGTCAGGGACAATTTCTTGTAAATGTCTTTGGAACCGTATAGAAAGTATAAGAGGCTTGATTTTACTAAGAGAGAGCAGATAGAAACAAAGATTTCTATCTTTGAAAAAAATCTAAACAAAATCTACTAACAAAGATTTAGAAAAAAGAGATGTAAACATATTCTGTCTCTGATGCTGCCTCCACGCCACATGATGTTGTAGTTCTGGCAAACCTTTCAAGAAATAGAAGCAAGATGTTCCCTTTGTTTTCCCTGACAAAACAAAACTTCAAATATAAATATATATATATCCTGCAACCATACCCATGTGTACCATATGAATAGTGTTTGCATTGTGATGAAGCATTCAGGGATGACAGGATTCTTCCTTGGCAGTGAGTGCCCTCAGAGTGAAGGATATGTGTGAGCTGGCATAAATTTCTATAGGTGAAAAGGTAGTTCCTGCATTTACATCCGTAGGAAAAATACAGGGGTGAGCAAATTGCTCACAGACCTTAGGGTGACTGCATAAGTTGCACAATTTCTCAGCATGGACTAGGAAACATAGGGATTGATTAGCTTTCCCCCTCAGGGATTTCACTGGCATCCGGTTTGTGTGATCTCCAAACGCCATCATTTCCAGACAGCACAACCATGACAACGGGAATTGTGCTCCAATTTATGGGAAGAGCACCAATTTCACTGCTTTGTCATTCAGAAATAAGCTCAGGATTCATTTGCAAATCTGTTGTGCAGACACCAAAACTTGTGCGGAAAATGAATCTTTGTGCCTTTTTGATTGGCCTAATAAAGGTATGATCTCAATATACATTTTGGAATTTGTGCCAACACAGCTGCCTCTGCTTTTTTTCTGACCATGTGGATATCCAAGTTAGCAATTTAGCAGTGGGATGAACACGACAGAGTTGCTCCACTAGAGAATGGACATCATCAAACAAAATAGATGAAGCTACACATTTTGGCTGCATGGACTTCCTTTACTTAATATTTAAAACTAACTAAAGCATGGACAATGCTCCTAATTTTCCACTGACCAAGAAGCCTTAAATGGATGCAGCTTTGAGTTCACAATGGGTACTTATATTATCTAAGAGAGATTGATTGATTGTTTGTTTGATTGATTTTTGCCCCACAAAAAAGGACCCAAAGCAACTTACATAATTAAAAGACAATATTTAAACCTAAAAACACTAAGTATACAAACACTAAAAAGGATCAAACAAATACCACACTAACGAAAGACAGTAAAAAAAAGCAACATCAAAAGCATATTCAAAGCAGAAAGGTGCAACCATTCACTTAAAACTCTACTTAAGCAGCCAGCTCTTCGTAACTTTGGGCATTGAGTGAGTCTATAGCTATACTAGCTGATACCCAACATCATTATCATCTGAACAGATCCAGTTCTTTGTCTCTAGCAATCCTCCTGCATTATTTCCTGTAACAAGATGAAGACAATAAGGAATTAAGATCGAGCCTCCCCCTCCGTTTCTCTCCCTTCCATACTGCTTTCTGTTTTATTCCTCTGCCTTGCTTTGTTAGGAGTCAGCAAACAGAAAAAGCCTTACTTATGCTGCTAACTCTACTGAGCCAGACAAGTTAGACCGTAGAATAAGAGATACAGAGGCACAGATACAATAACAGGATTTACTGTGCAGAAAGCAAATGCTTCAAACATCTTGCTCAGATAAATGAAAAGGCTCCTTTCCCCTTCACTTGAGTGCTTACAGCCATGAGACAATCCATTTAATTTTTCTGGAACTGTATCTCTTTGTAATCTTCCTACCCATACGTATGGCCAGGAGTTCTTCAGGCTTCATGGTGCTTAAACCACCTCCACTGTTACTGTCACCACCTAATGAGCAGAGTGGCATTATCAGCAGGCTGGAAATTGGGGTAATTTTGTAGGAACTAGCAGGCAGATCCATCATGGGATTTATGCTCTTCCAGAACATCCATTAGAACCATCCTCCCTCCACACACATGCAATCTCTCTTCCTTTGCCACTTATCTGTAAACAACTTCCCATACAATGCATAATGTACTACTATGTATAAGGAATACTCTTTTTTAGCAGAACTTTTACCTAGTGAATAAATATCTTGCAAATCCTTCCAAAAGACCAATTATTAGCCTCTGCTATCCTTTCAGTAGGCATTTTGCTCCCCCCTGTGGTGTAGTATGGAATATCCAAAGATCTTTGTTTCAAATTCACTTTTCTTGGCTGAAAACTGTTAACTAGAATTCTTAGCAGTTGAAGACTGGAGTCTAGTCTAGCACAGTGGACAGTCGCAGGTAAGGGGTGTAAGTCTGAGTATGATTAGAACCCAAACTTCCCTGGGCCATGGCTGAATTTTTTTCTACACAGCTGTTAAAGGTTATGTATACAGTATATAAAAAACAAATAAAAGCAAAGGGAGTGTTGGCTTATTTTATATTTTATTTTATTTTATTTATATCCCACCTATCTAGTCGCGGAGGACTACTCTAGGTGGCTTACAACAGAGATAAAATACTATAAAAATAAAACAACAAATTACAAAACAATTAAAGGTAAAAAGACAAAAGAGAAAAGAAAATCAAAAGTAATCTGGTGAGAAGGCCTGCCGAAACATCCAGGTCTTTAGTAGATTCTTAAAGGTGCCCAGCGAGGGAGCTCCGCGAATACCAGGAGGTAAATTATTCCACAGGCGAGGAGCCACCGCCGAGAAGGCCCTATTTCTTGTTTTCTCTTTTCGGGCCTCCCTCGGCGTTAAGCTCCTCAGCCTCACCTCCTGGCTCGCCCGTGTGACCCGGGTAGAACTTGGTGGGAGAAGGCGTTCCGCCAGGTATCGAGGCCCTAAACCGTTTAGGGCTTTATATATTGGCTTCCTCCAATACTAGTCCCAAGCAGATTGGCTCTTGGTCTTTTGCCTGTGAAATCAAAGATTGTGGTGTTTGGGGGTTGCACCACTACAGACAAAGGTTGTTTTCCCTGTTTTAATGTGCTTTTTGCCTTTTTTGGTTGTGGTTTATCTGAGGCAGACTTTTTTCACATATTTGAAACTAAAGGTGTTGGTTTCAAAGTGGATGGTGCTGAGACCTTATCTTAAGGTAGTGACTGCTGCAATGTTGCTGCTGAACACCAATTTGCAAGTTACTATTATGGAGAAGAATTACAGAACAAGTATCTAGAGAGATACAGCTGAGATAAAATATATACATATGCTTAATACCCATCTCAACAGAT